TGACGAGGGAAGGACGAGTTGGTCGGTCTATTTATTTATGCATTATTATGGCTTCCGTTGAACTTGAATAAATTTGTTGCACGTTATGTTTTTGTGCAAACTATTTTCAAATCTGGTGTGTGGATTTCGAATCTTATGAACCCTTGTAGTTTTGGGATTGATGTTTGACTATTTATTCATGAGTTTGTGTTGGTTGATGAAAACCGATTGTGAAAACCGGGTAATGAATCCCCGTAGGCCCAGATAAGACTTGGGTTATGAGAATGTTAGTTAACACCCACTAAATTTCCGAAAATGAGTTTGAAAATTTTATACTGGTTTTTGAAAAATCCGGAATTTCTTTAAAATCAAAGTGGGGTGTTACAGTTTGGTATCAGAGCCAGTCTGCATTTCTGTAGACTGGCACATATGTGATTATGTGTTTAGACCTTGTGTTATGACCACTCGTCTCCGTCACTCTGCGCTGCTTAAGGTATGTTTTGTTTAAGTATTAATGAAAATACTTGCGTTAAGAATAATGCACTTGTAGTAATGAAACTACTCGTGATGATCTTGTGAGTTACTCGTTATCTATGGGGCTTAGGATCTATCCACCTTGAATTAATCGAATTCTAGTGTTTGTGGCGAACCCTAGACTTCTGAAGTATTATTGTTTGTTTTCTGTGCTAACTTTGTTCGGCTTATTCAATGAAGAAGTATGAATACTCGCAACCGTAACCATCAGCCATCCCCATCTCCTTCCCCTCCTCGCCATCAGCACCAGGCCCCTCCGGCCATGGACCTCACTCAGCTGATTGTTCAGTTTCAGCGCATGAATGCGCCAACTTTCTCGGGGACAGAGAACCCCACAGCTGTGCTTGAGTGGATGAAGGAGCTGGACAAAATCTTTGTTGTACTCCCCCTTCCCGACCGTCAGCGCGTGTCCCTCGCGGCATACCAGATGAAGGAAGATGCCTCAGACTGGTGGATTGAGTTTTGGGCCCGGAAGCCCGAGGCGGAGCTTCATGCTCTCACTTGGGAGCAAATGAAGACGATGGTGCACAACAAGTTCCTTCCTCAGAGCTTTTGGGACAGGATGGAGCACGAATTCTATCACTTGCAGCAGGGCAACTCCTCGGTGGATGAGTACATCAGCACTTTCACCCGTATGTGCCTTTTTGCGGGTGATGCGGTGAACACCGACGCTAAGAAGGCCCGGAAATTTCTCAAGGGTCTCAACCAGAGGATCCGTGAATTGGTGGGAAGTCATGGACCGATGTCTTATGCTGATACCGTGAGCCGAGCCCAGGAGGTGGAGAGCTGTCTCATTCTGGTTGTTCCCATTCCATCCTATCCTCCCGCCTCTCAGCCTCCTCAGGCTATTCAGTATGCTCAGCCCATCTCGGCCGTGCCGCCCGGCTCTAGCTCGGGTAAGAGGAAGTCCGACTTCAAGAACAAGGGCAAGGGAAAGAAAGTGAGCTTTGATAGGCGTGACAACCGACCCTCTAACGGCCAAGCCTGTCCGAAATGCAGTAGATCCCATAGCGGTGAGTGCCTAGCTAGCCAGCGCATCTGTTTCAACTGCAACCGCCCGGGACACTATGCTAATGTTTGCCGCGATCCTAAGAGACAGCAGCAGCAGCAGCCGCCCTATCCTCAGCAGCAGCAGCTTCCCCCACCACCACCACATCAGCAGCATCAGCAGCAGCAGCAGCCCCCACCGTTCCAGCAGAGGACTGGAGGCCAGGCCCATGTTTATACCCTCACCCATGATGAGGCCGCTCGTAATTCAGGTACCATGTCCGGAATGCTTTCGATATCCCATGTGCCTGTTTTTGCTTTGTGTGATACCGGTGCTACCCATTCGTTTATCTCATCTCGTTGTTTGGAGGCCTTATCTGTTAGCACCGTGCATGCTTGTAATCCTCTTGAGGTTAGCTTAGCCTCGGGAAAAGTTATTGTTTCTAATTCAGTAGTCCGCAATCTTCCTATCTGTGTTGGTGGTCGAGTTCTGGAGGCCGATGCATATGTTATTGATATGCGAGACTTCGACGTGATCTTGGGCATGGACTGGCTCACCCGTTACCGAGCCGATATCCGGTGCCAGGAGCGCGAAGTCACCCTTTATCCCGTTTCCGATCAGCCGGTTGTATTCTTTAAGGTGAGTTCGAGGACTGTGCCTCGGGTCATCTCTTCTTTGCAAGCTAGGAAGAGCCTTTCCAAGGGTAGCTGTCATGGCTACCTTGTTTCTATGGTATCCGACGTCGTTGATGAGCGGGTGCCCGAGCGAGTATCCATTGTTTGCGAGTACCTCGACGTTTTTCCTGATGACTTGCCCGGAGGACCGCCAGACCGCCAGGTGGAGTTCACCATTGACCTGATTCCCAGAGCTGGTCCCGTTTCTAAAGCCCCTTATCGTATGGCGCCGAAGGAGCTTCAAGAGCTCAAGGCCCAGATCCAGGAGTTGCTCAAGCTCGGTTTCATTCGTCCGAGTGTTTCGCCGTGGGGTGCGCCCGTCCTATTCGTGAAGAAGAAAGACGGGTTTATGCGCATGTGCATTGACTATCGGGAGTTGAATGCCCTTACAGTCAAGAACAAGTACCCCCTTCCCCGTATCGAGGACCTTTTCGACCAGCTGAGAGGAACCAGCGTCTTCTCGAAGATTGATTTGTGATCCGGTTATCATCAGCTGAAGATCCGAGAGTCGGATATTTCCAAGACTGCCTTCCGTACTCGCTATGGCCACTATGAGTTCGTAGTCATGCCCTTCGGACTCAGTAATGCCCCGGCCGTTTTCATGGACCTTATGAATAGGGTCTTTCATCCTTTCCTGGACCAGTTCGTCATTGTGTTCATCGACGACATTCTGGTCTATTCCCGAGATATCGATCGACACAAGGAGCATCTGAGGATTGTGCTTGAGACTCTTCGCCGCGAGAAGTTGTATGCTAAGTTCTCGAAGTGCGAATTCTGGCTGCAGCGTGTGGCATTCCTGGGCCACATTGTGACAGCTCGAGGCATTGAGGTGGATCCCAGCAAGATCGAGGTGGTGAGCAAGTGGGATACGCCAAGAAGTGCCGCGGATGTTCGTAGTTTCCTGGGGTTAGCAGGATACTACAGGAGGTCTATCGAGGGCTTCTCGAAGATAGCCCAGCCGCTGACCAACCTTACGAAGAAGGCCGTGAGGTTTGATTGGAGTGCTCAGTGCGAGGAGAGTTTCCAGGAGTTGAAGGGGAGACTCACTACCGCACCGGTTCTAGCCATACCCGACCCTACTTTGGAGTTCACCGTCTATAGTGATGCTTCGAAGATGGGTTTGGGGTGCGTCCTTATGCAGCAAGGGAAAGTCATAGCCTATGCTTCGAGGCAGCTGAAGCCTCACGAGCAGAACTATCCCACTCATGATCTTGAGTTGGCCGCTGTTGTCCACGCATTGAAGATTTGGAGGCATTATCTCTATGGAGGCAAGTGCGAGATCTTCACCGACCACAAGAGCTTAAAGTACATATTCACTCAGAAGGAGATGAACATGAGGCAGCGTAGGTGGTTGGATCTGGTCAAGGACTACGACTGCGCCATTAGCTACCACCCTGGGAAAGCAAATGTGGTGGCCGATCCCCTTAGTCGGAGGAGCCATGGCCAGTTGTCTTGCGTGTTCACCCAGCAGGATGTTCTTCTTCGGGAGTGTGTTGGCCTCTTTGGTCGTGGGACCGACTCTTCGAGAGAGGATAGTCGCCGAGCAACCGAATGACCGTTTCCTATGCCGGATGAGGGAGTTGTCGACAGCCGGTAGAGTTGGTGGATTCACAGTCGCATCCGATGGAGCCTTGGTCTTCGAGGGTAGACTTTGTGTTCCGAGGGTGTGGGAGCTGCGGAGAGAGATTCTGAAGGAGGCCCATAGTGCCCCGTACACCATCCATCCTGGTAGCACGAAGATGTATCAGGACCTGAGGAAGTCTTTCTGGTGGCGAGGCATGAAGAGGCAGACGGCAAAGTTTGTGGATGGGTGCCTGGTGTGTCAGCAAGTGAAGGCTGAGCGCCAGAAACCGAGAGGATTGTTGCAGCCTCTGGAGGTTCCCCAGTGGAAGTGGGATTGCATCACCATGGATTTCTTGGTTGGACTGCCGAGATCAAGGAGCGGGTGCGATTCGATTTGGGTGATAGTGGATCGCCTTACGAAGTCTGCCCATTTTCTGCCTGTCCGGACGACCATGAAGGCGAGTGATTACGCTGAATTGTTCGTTAAGGACATTGTCAAGCTTCATGGAGTGCCCGTGGAGATTGTTTTGGATCGAGATGCCAAGTTCACGTCCCAGTTCTGGAGGACGTTGCACCGAGCCATGGGGACGAGGTTGGAGTTTAGTACAGCCTTCCACCCCTAGACCGATGGTCAGTCGGAGCGTGTGATCCAGTACTTGGAGGATATCTTGAGGGCTGTAGTCTTGGACCGAAGCCTGACTTGGGAATATGCCCTTCCGCTAGTCGAGCTGACCTACAACAACAGCTACCACTCTTCGATCAAGATGTGCCCATACGAGGCTTTATACGGACGTAAGGTCCGGACTCCTTTGTATTGGGATGAGGTTGGAGAGAGGAGGATCACCGGACCAGATTTTGTTCAGAGTACTGCTGCGACCGTTGAGGAGATCCGGAAGGCCATCAGATCCGCCCAGGAGAGGCAAAAGGTCTATGCCGACCGGGAGAGGCATGAGCATGAGTATGCGGTGGGAGATCATGTTCTTCTGAAGGTTTCACCCATGCGAGGGGTGATTCGCTTCGGGAAGAAAGAAAAGCTCAAACCTCGCTATATTGGACCGTTCGAGATCCTCGACCGAGTCGGGAACTTAGCGTATCGACTAGCTTTACCACCAGACTTGTCGGGTGTGCACGACGTATTCCATGTCTCGATGCTTCGGAAGTATGTGCATAATCCTGATCATATCGTGGACTTCGGCGAACTGCAGGTCGAGCGAGACCTTACCTATGAGGAGGTGCCGGTAGCTATTCTGGATCGGAAGGTCCATCAGCTGAGGAACCGGGCAGTGAGCTTACTGAAGGTGCTGTGGAGCCGACACGATGAGACCGAGGCGACTTGGGAGAGGGAGGACGGTATTAGGAGGCGTTATCCGAACTTCGAGTTCTGAGTTCTCCTTTGTATCTTTTATCGCTTTCTAGTTTTGTTTTCGAATTCCGAGGTCGGAATTCTTTGTAAGGTGGGTAGACTGTGACGCCCCGTTCGTTTATGAATAATTTGGATTATTGTTATTATTATTATTATTTTTATCATTAATTGTGGCTATTATTATTGAATGTTAATTGTCTAAATGCTTAAATGATTTTATGTGCCTAATTGTGTTTATTATGTAAATATATTAATTTCGGTATTTTTATTTTAAATATTAAATATTATTTTAAATATTTTAATTATTGTTATTGTAATTTCGTCAAACCGAGCATGTTCGAGCCGCGAATCGCGCGCCCGTGAGCCAAGCCCGCGCCTAGGCATCCGCCCCTTCCCCTCTTTCCTTTTGTGTGTTGTTGGATTTTTGGCAAGTGACTTGTATGGTAAGTCACAAGCCCTAGCCCTATATATGGGAGAAGATCATCCCTCCCCTCCTCATTTTTTTTTTCTCTAGCCGCCTTTCTCCATCTCTCTCCCTCTCTCCCCGATCTCTCTCTCGTCCTCTCCCCCTCCCTCGGCTTTTATTTTTTTTCAGCAGTCCCGTCGCACCAGGCCACGCGTCCCGGTCGTTGGAGCACCCCAGGCCTCAGTTCGCGCCTCCCAGTCGCCACCCGGAGCCCAGCAGACGCGCACAAAAAGCCCGGCGCCCCGCGAAGCCGCCAGCGCCCCCGCAGGCCCGATACCCCGCGCGTCCGCGATCCCCTCGGCCTTTCGATCCCTCTCTCGTGCGATTTATCCCGAGAACGATACAAGGCTGTTAATTCTTATTATTTTAGTATGTTTATGTTGTGTGTTGATGCCTTGTTGAGAGATCTTGTGTTAAAGTTTAATACATAATTGATTTTACTCGTGATTCGTTCATTATTGAGATTCGATTTCATTTTTGTGTTAAATCGTGTTTATTGCTGTGGATCTATGGAACACTTGAAGTCTTTGGCCTTATGATGAAGGCCTTAGACGAAATTATTGATTGATTTAATTGTTGTGCATTTTTGAATCGTGTAGTGTTGCTGAAACTTCGAAAAATCATCTAAATTCGTATACTCGTCCGATTGCTACGAAATTTGTACTGTATAACCCTCTGATGATGTTATAGGTCGTGTAAAAATTTCAAGTTAAAATAAGGTCTGTAGCTATGTTAATTGCCGATTTGAAAATCTGACCTGAAACTTGGAAAAATCATTAAAAATCGAATACTTGGTATTTTTCTGTGAATTTTGGTGAGGGTCAGTGATTTAATGAAATGTGTGTTGTGTCCAAATTTTGCTGAAAAATTCAAAGGATTGTTTGGTGAACTAGAAAATTCAGATTTCAATCGTCTTTTTGTAAAAATTGTTTGATTGTGTTAAATTGAAGAGTTGGATCTGAAAACCTTGTGATTATGTGCCATTCTGAGTCTATTTTAATGTGTTAAAATTTTATTTAAA